TTTCACCTGTATGCAGTATATTTTGCTCATCATTTCTATTGCTGTTTCAGGGCGTATTTCAGTGCCTATAGATGTCAAGAATTTGGATAAATTTGATCCTTTTAGTGCCCCAACAATAAGGTATGAAGGATATTGGGCATCAGGTATTTTTACATATTGAAAAAGCAACTTTGGTATGATTCTTTTTTAAACTGTAGTGGTGGTATGTATCAGGATTCTTTTAAAGTATGAGTAAGGCAGGAAAGTAGCTCCATAAATTGATTTTTTTTTTGAAAGAAATCTAGGCATCTGTATATGTAATTTGGTGCATGAACTTGGGTTCTATTAGATGTCTCATTTATCCCAACATATTAAAATGACCCATCTTATTTCATTTATTTCCAGCTTCTTTTTGTGCATCTTTTAAGTGTTGCCTACTTGTAGGCCCAACCCATGTTTTGTATTTGACATGAAATATTGGGTTTCCTGCCTAGACAAGTGCTTTCTGAGCAAAATTCATACAATTATTGTGATGCAGAAGGAGATCATTCAGCCCACTATGCCTGTAAAAGTTCAATTCCCTGGTGCCAGTCTCCTGCCTTTTTCCCCCATACCCTTGCACACCATTTTTAACCAAATAATCATTCAGTGCCCTCTTAAATGCTTTAATTGAACCTGTCTGCCTCCACATTTCCAGACACTACATTTCATACCTTGCCCACTCACGATGAAAAAGTTTTTCTCTTGCAACCCCTCGCTTCATTTGCACATCACTTTTTAAACCCTTCTTGTTTCTTTTACCAGTGGAAACAACCTCACCCTTTCTACTCTATCCAGCCTACTCATGATTTTGAAAGTGTCAATCAGAGCTCCTCTTAGCCTTCTGTCCCAGGAGAACAGTCCCAACTTCAATCTATCCTCATCACTGAAGTTTCTGATCCCTGGAACCGTTCCAGTAAATCACTTCTGCACTCTCTAATGCATTCACGTCTTTCCTGTAATGTGGCACCCACAGGTGTATAAAATACTCTAGCTGAGGTCTAACAGTGTCTTGTATAAATTCACCATAGCCTCCTTTCTCTCTACTCCGTGCCCCTATTAGTAAAACCAAGAACACATTGTGCTTTATTTGCTGCTCTGTCCACCTGTCCTACCACTTTTCATGATCTGAGCACATGTACATCCAAGTCCCTCTGTTCCTGTACCCACTTTACAATTGTACCCCCTATTTTGTATTGTCTTTCAATGTTCAAAGTACATCACCTCATACTTCTCTGCATTGAACCTTATCTGCCACTGAACGCTCACTCTAACTTGTCTCAGCCCTTTTTGAAGTTCCACACTGTCCTCTCTGCAATTAACAATTTTTCCAAGTTTCATATCATCTGCAAATTTTGAAATTGCCCCTGCGCACCATGATCCAGATTATTAATATATCTCCTTTTTCCTGATCTATATCAACACCTGAGAAACTCCTATGAACATTCCAGGCTGAAAAATAGCCATTTGCCATTCTTTTGTTTCCCATCACTCGGCCAATTTTGTATCCATGTTGTAACTGTCCCTTTTACACCGTGACCTATAACTTTTCTCAAAAGTCTGTCATGTGGCACGGTATCAAATGCTTTCTGAAATCTATGCATACTACATCAACAACATTACCCTCTTCAACCCTTGCTGTTACCTCTTTCAAAAAAAAAACCCAAGTTAGTTAAGCATAATTTTCCCTGTTAGAAATCCATGCTAATCAACCCACCTTTTTCTATGTGATTACTAATTCTATCCCAAATAACTATTTTGAGAAGTTTCCCCACTAGTTAAACTAGCTGGTCTGTAATTGGTGGGATTATCCTTTAAACCTTTCTCGGACAAGGCGTAATGTTTACAATTTCCCGAGTCCAGGGAAGATTAAAACATTGTGGCCAGTGTCCCCGCAATTTCGACCCTAACTTTACTTCGGAATCCTTGGATGCATCTCATATGGTCCTGGTACCTTGTCAACTGCAAGCACCGACAATCTATTCAAGATTTCTTCCTTTTATTAATTTGAAATCCTTTCGTTGATAGAGTTTCATCCTCTGTCAACATGGCCCGGGCAGCAACATCCTCTTTTGTAAAGACGGATACAAAGTATTCATTTAACAACTAAGCCATGCCCCTGTCTCCATGTATATATCCTCTTTTTGATCTCTGATCAGCCTACTCTCCTTTAACCACTCTCACTGTTTATATGCCTATAGAAGCCTTTGGGATTTCCTTTTGTGTTAACTGCCAGTCTTTTCTCATAATTACTCTTTGCTTCTCTTACAGTATTTGCTTATTTGCCTCACCTCCTAGACCTTTGAGATTCCTGTTGATCCTGTTATGTTTTCTGCCTTACACCTGTCATAAGGACACTTTTTTCTAATGTTAATTTTGATCTCTTTTGTCATCCAGGGAACTCTGGATTTATTTGCCCTACCTTTTACATTAGAAGGAATATACCTCATTTGCATGCAAACCATTTGCTCCTTGAAGGTGGCGCATTGTTTAGTTACTGATTTTGCCACTAGCCTCTTATTCCAGTCAATTGTGTTTAACTCTGTTCTAGCCCAATAAAGTCAGCTTTCTGCCAATTGATTTTTTTCTTGATTGGTGCTGGAGAATAACATGCAATAACCTGAACCGTTATGTTTTGGAAAAATGCAAGAACAAAACAAGTGTCATGATTTTCAGTATTTGCAGTTGTCACCAGTGTAGCTCATTGCAACAGTGAAGGGATGTCCCAGCTAGTCCATGGTCTGCCACCATATACATTTCTAGAAGTTCTCCAGTGAGGCAATGCATGCCTGCTTGCATTTGGTTTTTACCTTTATGGCAAGGATGCTAAGGCCAGTTTGTAGCATAATACCTTGGACAGTGACATCCCAGTCTGAGTTGTGTTGGGGAGGTGCATTTAACTGGCTGGTGTACCAACAGTTTCATGAAGGAGAAATTGCCAGGGTTTCTGCTGTGGATTGTTGTCCAACAGGTCCTGCTGGAAGAATGTGTAAATGGTTGGTGAGGACAGGATCAGACTCGGCCATGATGCTCTGTGGTTGAAAAGCTCACATGATTCTGTGTCAAAACACTTTGAATGTTGGTCAGTTGGGCAAGTTACAAGGTGACCTGGTGCCACAGAACAATAACTGAGTAAGGAATCAATCCCCATGGGGAACATCTAGGTTGCTCATTTTATGTGAAGGAGAAATCATTTAATGTTTTTATATGGTTGTAATGCCAATCTGCTGAATGGAAACATGGCCTGTTTAGATCGTGGTAACTATGCAACAGAGTGGCCATGCAGCAAATGAGAATGTGATGTGCAGGGAGCTGCACGTGATCAATATTGCCTTGACAACGTACGCGTACATGACTGTAGGTCAATCTTTAAAATTGGTTGAACAGCGCAAAAGTGAGCTGCAAGCAGAAGTTTGAGGCAACAATGTGGAAAGTAACATTGTGCTCAGCTAAAACATCCTTTGCCATCAGGCAGCATATTGGCACAATCTGTCTAAACTCACACAAGCAATTCAGTGTCTAAAGGCACCTGCCATAAACAAAACATTACCTTAACACTGCTTCAGTGTCTTCAGGCAAATAAAGTTGTGTGTCCTGTAATTTACAATAGGATAACCTCTGAATCTATTATCTTTAAGTTATCTTTGCAAGGAACTTGATAAGAAAACTAAGGAAGAGCAAGAGGTTACAACTGCTGAGAATGACGAGGAGCCAGAAGTGAAGCGTCGCACCAGAGGTAAATTTATGCATGAGGTTGTGGGCATTGTCGTCAATTAATTACCCACCCAGTTTGCATTTGAGAGCAATTGAAAATCAGTCATGTTGCTGTGTGTGTTTGGAGCCACATGTATCCTCGGTCAGATAAGGATGGCAGGTGTCCTTCCTGAAAAGACATGTCAACAGGGTTACTTTTATACAGCAATTGATAAATTTCACAGTAACTACTGAGACAAACATTTAGTTCTAGATTGTTAGAGATAGTAGGAACTGGCGATGCTGCAGAATCTGAGATAACAAGGTGT